AGCCGAAGAACTACATCCAGCAACACTTCCAGCAGCAGCAGCTCCAGCAGCTCCAGCTCCAGCAACAGCAGCAGCAGCAGCAGCAGCAGCAGCAGCAACAACAACAGCAGCAGCAACAACAACAACAACAGCAGCAGCAACAACAGCAGCAGCTCCAACTCCAGCTCCAGCTCCAGCAGCAGCAGCAGCTCCAGCAACAACAGCAGCAACAGCTCCAGCAGCAGCAGCTCCAGCAACAGCAGCTCCAGCAGCAGCAGCAACAACAGCTCCAGCAGCAGCTCCAGCAGCAGCTTCAACAGCAGCAGCTCCAACAGCAGCAGCTCCAACAGCAACAGCTCCAACAGCAACAACAGCAACAACAACAACAGCAACAGCAGCAGCAGCAGCAGCAGCACTTTCAACAGCAGCAGCAGCAGGCCCAATTTCAACTTCACCACCAAAATTTGCAGTCCCAGCAGCAGCAGCAGCAGCAGCGCCTGCCACAGCCGGCGCTCCTGCAGCCGGCGCTGTTTCAGCGCACACAGTCGCAGGCTCAGGCGCAGCAGTTCACCCCTCGCCAGCAGTATGGCCTGCTGGCTCTGCAAGAGGCCCAGGCCCAACAGCAACAGCAGGAGCATCTACCGTACCAGTTTCATCAGCAGGGCCTTCTTCAGCTTCACCAGCAGCCCCGGCTCCAGCAGCAGGTCCAGCAATCGCAAGCTCTTCCCCTCTCACAGCAAGATATCCACAGCACCCTCAATCAGCAGCAGCAGCAGCAGCAGCAGCAGCAGGCCTTCTCCCAGCCGGCCATCGTGGCGGGATACGAGCACCCGGTGCTGTACCTGCAGTCGCATCCGTCCTCGGCTGGGTCCTCAACCGTGTCGACCCCCTCAACCGTGTCGGCCCCCTCCACCTCCCATGCAGCCATGGATCCGGCACATGCGCTGTTCCACTTCCAGCCGCCGCTCCAGGGTCCCCGCGTGGTGGTACGTTCCATCTGCATGCCTGCTTGCCGCTGTCCCCTCCCCTCCTGGCGCCCACTCTCTGACCGGATCCTGCTCTTTCTTATTTCTTCGCCCATGCGCCCATGCGCCCATGCGCCCGGCACACGCACACGCACACGCACACACGCACACACGCACACACGCACACACGCACACACAACAGGAACTGCCAACTGGCATTCGAGCAGACGGCAACTGGGCCACCGCCGTGACCAACCATCCTCTCATCGACTCGATGACCATCCCCAAACGTATCTGCCCCTTTCTGCCCGGCTCCTCCTCCTCCTCTTCCTCTCCCCCCTCCCCTCTTCCTAGCTCACACACGCTTCCCCTCGCGGCCCCCTCCCTCCCTCCCTCCCGACACACCCATCCAGCGCCCCCGCCATCACAGGCCGCCCGCGTGGTCAATCAGCGGACCTACTCGGTGAAGGCCAAGCTCGCGGTCAACACCACCACCAACAAGCACTACCGCAATGAGCAGGCCGTGCTCAAGTGGGGCACCAATCACCTGAAGGACCTCGGCAAGCCCGAGGCCCAGGTGTCCGTGGCCATCCGCCAGTGCCGGTATCTGCGCACCCTGCAGAATGCCTTCCACTTCGATTACTCGCAACTGTCGCTCGACGAATTGGTCCAGCCGCGGACCGCCGCCTCGGCCCTTCCCTCCCCCTCGCTGGGGGCCGACCATCCCGGGGGCGTGATGGCTTCGGGGCTGGGCCCGGCGGTGCCGGGCGGCCTGGCCGGACCACATCACCACCCGGGCCTGGCTCCGTCGCCCACCTCCTCGGTGGTGCACTCGCCACTGAGCCCCCTGGCCGTGGCCTCGGCTGGGGGGCCCATCATCGGGACCTATCCGCCGCACGCGGGCCACATGCTGCCGGCGTCCATGCTCCCCCCTCGGCCGCTGTCCATGGCGAACTTCGTGCGCGAGGCCGCCCGGCTGATGAAGGGCAGCGGCCCGCGCACCCGCAAGCTGGATGCGGCCAACTTGAACTCCATCCGCAAATGGGCCGAGGTGGTGTTCCTCCCACGCGGGCTTTTCATGGTCGGACCGCCGACGCGCGTCATCTCGCCGGATGAGAACTCCATCTCCCCGAGCCCCACTTCGCCCACATTCAGGCGCCCGAATGCCGGGGAGGCCCCACACCCGTTCCAGGTGGCGGCCAATGCCACCCCGCAAGCCGGGTTACTCCACTCCAACCCGGCGGCCATGCACATGCAGCAGCCCTTCCACATGCAGGCCCACTCCGCGGCGCACCTTCAAAATTCCTACCACCACCATCCCCACCACCCCCACCAGCAGCCGGCGTCGTCCATGGTGCTGGCGGCCGGCGGGGGCGTGCTCCCGCACGGCGGTGCCCTGCAGGATGACTGTGGCGCGGTCACATCGGCCGATCTGGCCGCCTCCTCGCCGGTCTCCGACCCCCGGGTGACGGAGCGTGTCTTCCGGTTACTCTTCTCCATTCTCATGCACATCCACGAGAATCTGGTGTCCTCGCCCAGTCGCGCGGCCTACCTCGACGCCAACCACTTCCCGCAGGGGACCAAGCTCGAGCGCATCATCTGGCCGCCGATGGCCACCACCGCCGAGGGCGGGCCCACCGGCGGCGCCGGCGCCGGCAATCCGCCCCCCGGCAAGCAGGCGCTCCCCACCGGGGGCAAGCGCACGCGCAATGCCCATGACGACCACTCGGCGATGGGGGGCGCACCGGACTCGGCCGCTGCGGCCGCCATTTCCCCCTCCTCGGCCTCCTCCTCTTCGTGCCAGCTGCTGGATGTCGACCCCGCCACCGCCATCATCGGGCCCGGCGGCTCCGGGCATCCCCGCTTTGGCGATGGCAATGCCGACGGCTCGCCCGCCCTCAAGCGCTCGCGGCCGGATGGCACCGGCGGCGGGACGCCACTTGGCCGCCGGGCGTCGGCCTCCTCGCCGTCGGAGCTGGACCTGGCCGCCATGGCCGGCGGCGGTGGCAGTGCCACCGGCGGGGGCGGCTGCTCCGCCGCCAACAGCGGCGCCAACATCAGCCTCTTCGATTTTCTCAACTGCACCGTGACCAACCTCCCGTCCATCGGCGGTGCGGTGCCGACCCCGGCCCCCGGCGTCGGCAAGGATGACAGCCTGGTCATGCCGACCCTCGGGCAGCTGTACCTCATCTCCCACCTCCTCTCCTTCTACCCGCCGGATTCGCAACGCCTGCAGGATTCGCCCGTGTCCCCGCGGGCGGGTGACCCGCCGGGCGGCGTGGGGGGCGCCGATGACGATCTGTCCGGCGATGCTGCTCGGTCATCACTGGCCGGGGCCGGCGCGGCCTCGGTCCCGGACAGCTCATCTCCGGATGTCGCCAACGCAGCTCTTTCCGGTGCGCACCGAATCTGCCCGTGTTCCCTCTCCCTCTCTCTCTCTGTGTATTTCTTTCTCCTTCCCTCTGTCTTGATCTTTTGCCCTGCTCTCTTCCCGCTTCCCGCTTCCCGCTTCCCGCTCGCTCGCCGTCACCTTGCCTTGGCGATTGCAGGCGGCTCGCCTCTCTCCCTCCTCCCCCGCATTGACCTCCCGCGTGTGCTGCATCTGTGTCGGTTCGAAAATCGTGCCCCCCCCCCTCCCCCCCCGCCCTCCTCAAGTGCGCCCCCCGTCGGCTGGACAGCCTCGTGGCGTCCGGCACCCCGGGGCCCCGGGAACCGATGGATTCCTGCGAATTGTCACTGCGCCGCTGCAGCAACAGCAGCAGTCTGCCGGCACGCGGCCCCTGACCGCACGCTACTCCATGTCTCCCTCCCCTTCGCTGGCCCGGCAGTCGCAGTACTCCCTGTCCTCGAACTCGAGCTCGCCCATGACGTCGGTCCCCTCGTCGGCCCTTGTGTCGGCGACTTCCTCGGCGGCCTCCTCGCCCAGCAGTGCCACCGTCGCCGGCGGGCTCCCGCCGCCCCAGCTGTCGGTCACCATTCCGCCCCCGATGTCGGGGCTCGGTGGTGGCGGCCCGGACTCTTCGGGCCTCAGTCGGTCGACCAGCTCGCCCGGGCTCCTGATGAATAACCTCTCCTCGCCGGTGGTCATCGGCTCTTCGGCCGCTGCGCGAGTCCAATCGCAGCAGCAGCAGCAGCAGCAGCAGCAGCAGCAACCCCTGGCGCCCTTCCATGGTGCCGGCAATGCCGGGCTCCAGATGATGGCCGGCGGGAATGGCGGCGGCCCCCCGACGGCGACGGCCCCGCACCAGGCCCCGCTGCAGTTCAAGCAGCAGTCCTCCGCCTTGGGCAATGGTGGCGGCGGGCCTGGCGCCCGTGCTGGCGCCCTGTCGAGCGGCATGCACCAGCCGCAGCTGACCATCGACACGTCGGTTTCCGGGGCCACATCCCCGACTCAGGCCCAGCAGCACCCGGCCCTGGTGGCGGCAGCCTATCACGGCGGGCTGGTGGCCGGTCATGGGGGCAGCGCCGGTGGCGGCGGCAACAGCGCCGGCTCCCAGACCGGCTTCCCCTCCCTCGGCCAGGGGGCCATGTCGCAGCCATCTGAGCAACAGCAGCAGCAGCTCCAGCTCCTGCAGTCGGGCCAGGTGACGCCGATCACGGCGACCGGCACGTCCGGCAATTGCGGCGGCGGCGGCGGCGGCGGCGGCGGCGGCGGCGTTGCCATGGTCCATGGCCAGCAATTCCACTCGGCCGCCGGAATGGCCGGCGTCTATGTCCCTGGCGCCCAGGATCCCTCCGTAGCCGGCCCCGGCCCGACGGGCCAGCTCCCGTCGCCCTACCGCGACTCGATGGCAGCGATCCAGCTGGCAGCGTCGGCGGCGGCTGCTGCTGACGCCAGCAACCCCGGTACGCCGGTGATCGATGCCCGTCGACTGATGGCCTTGGCGGTGTCCGGTGGCCCGGCGACCTCCCCCACTGGCACCGGCGGCGTGCCGGCCCTGCTGCCTCCGGGCCATATGACCGGTCACCGGCATTGAGGCCGGGAGGCAAAGAGAGAGAGAGAGAGAGAGAGAGAGAGAGAACATAGCAGGGCGGGAGGCGGCGAGGCGCATCCACACCCCCGAAATAGCGGGGCCCTTCCCGCAGCGCGTGGTGTGGTGTGTCTTCGCCTTCATCGCGCCCCCCCCCCCCCCCCCCCCCCACGCGCGCGCGCACACACACACACACACCTTTTGTGAAGGAAAAGGCATCTGCCCACACTCGGACTCCGACTCCCCTTCTGGCTAGAAAAAAGGTGGTGTGCGCGTGTGTGTGCGCGTGTGTCTGAGATCGGAAGAGAAAGTGAGCCAGAGAGAGAGAGAGAGTGAGTGAGTGAGAGTGAGAGCGATAGCAATACATCCTTTCCCGTCATCTCCTTCTCGCCCTCTCCTTTTCACCTTCCCGCCCGCTCGCCCATCCGCCCCCGAAGGTCTGGTCCCCAGTCCACTCTCCCTCTCTATCTCTCTCTCTCTCCTCTATGTTGGCCACTTTCACCCTCTCCTCGCCATGTGTCTCCCCCCTCCTCCTCCTCCTCCTCCTCCTTTGCCCCCTTTGAGCATCCTTGAGAAGCCACGATGCAAGCTAGCCCCCACCAGGAGACCTGGATTGTCTGAAGGTCCTCCGCGCGTGCAGGCGCCGAGAGGGGATCCCGCACGCACTCCTCTCTTCGCCCATTTTTGCAACCTTAGTTTTGTCCCTCCCTTCCTCGTCCTCCTCCCGGCGTGTGAAGTCGTCGCCCACGACCCCCCTCCCTCCTCCCCCCTCCCCTCCCCCCCCCCCCTCCAC